TAAATACTTGACCCATGAATTTTTCTCCAGCATAAATTCATGGGGAAATTACACAGAAGCCGGTATTTTAAGATTACTGTGCAAAACTCAGGTGCCAACTTTAATTAATCATATATCGGTATAATTATATATTCTAGTATTAATATTAATATTATAATTAATCAAACTCCTCCAATTCACCCTAATCTCATTTGCAAAACGTAAATATATCTCTCTCCACTCATCTCCTCTCCTCTCCTCTCCACACACTCTCTCTCTTTCACCACCATTTGGGTCGGCGATTTCACAGTCAAATATCACCAACGTGAATCCATCCAAACCCCACTCCAACCATCCCCAAACCACAAATTTCTCCACATTTGACATTTCGTCTTTGAAGTAGATGATGGATTTTTTTCCCCATTTTCCTCTTCTCATCAGAAAAGGCATCTGGTGCTTTTTTTTCATCATTTTCCTTTTCAACGGGTGGTGATGGCATTTTGTGGAGATTTGGTATTGTGACTTTGGTCCACAAGCAGAAGATACCTGATTTGTGGTGTTTTGTGTGTAAAGTGGTGCTTTCAGGCAAGTGGAGGGGGTGGTGTGTAGGAGGTGGTGATGGGGAAGTCTCGTAACTGTGGATCAATGTCTACAAGTGGTTGTGGTGGGGGTGTGTAGGAGGTGGTGATGGTTGATCTGATTTTGGTAACTGTGGTCTGAAGTACATTTAGTATTATGGTGGTGGTGGTGTGTAAAAGGTGCTGATGGTCAATCACAATTAATTTATAAGTCATAGATCACAGTGTGTAAGTCACAAATCAATATCCACATGTTACATGTCACTATAATTAGGTCACAGATCAATGCAGCCAAGTCATGTATCAATTAAAATTGATCACATATCAATGCCTATGTCACAGATCAATTTAATTGATCAAGATCAATGTCCACATGTCATAGATCAATTAAATTTGGTCACAAATTAATGTTCATAGGTCACAGTTCAATATCCACAGGTCACAGGTTACATGTAACTGGTATCAGAGTGCATAAGTCATGGGTCACAAATTCAATAGATCGGTCACATATTATTAATTTCTTTGACCTCAGTTATTCGATTCAGTCACAAATTCAATTAAGTCACATATCAACTAAAATTGATCATGGATCAATGCCTATAGGTCCTAGTCCAATTTAATTGGTCACGGATCAACGTCCATAGGTCATAGATCAATTAAAATTGGTCACAAATTAATGTTCACAGGTCACAAG